TCTCCTCACTCGACTCAGAGTGAGACATCGGATGAACTTCTACAACCTCGCTATACTCAACTCGGTTTGGCAGACTGACCAGATGACTAAGGTAGCCCTAACTTCGACTAGCCCTTTTTTAAACCAAGCCTAATATCTCTCTCGACTCAGACAAAGACACCAAGATGAGTCGAGTGGTATCCCTAAATAAGTCGAACTTGTCTTTTTCTCTCTGACGAACCCAAAAAAACCCAGAATTCCAATAAAATCACCCAAAATCTCCAAAAAAAAAAACCGACCAAAACCTCACCAAAACTCTACAAAAAACCTAGAAACTTGACTTCCTTAACAAAGACGCCAAACTCAAAAACATCAAACCCTTGGTTTTAACGAAATCAAACTAGAAACTTGCTTAAACTTGTATAAACTCTCCCCAAGGAAACCTCACAAAACCTTACATTGTTTCCTACTCAAACAGGCCTAAAAATTGCTCACAATTCGTCTAGAAATGCAAAAAGAAAAGAAAATGAAGAAAATTTTACTTGAAAATGAAGTTTTACCGTGATTGACTGAGAAATCTAGCGAAAACAGCATGCCACTACAACAGAGAAGGGTTTTAACAGAGAGAAAAATCAGGCTTCAATGAAGAGCGAAGATGAACAATCGCCCCAAACACATTTCTCCTTCCCTTTAAAATGCCCAACCTGACAGAGATAACACACGGCAACAACCGATTGGCTGCAACTTTCTAAATTCTCACTTGAATGGAAGATGAGATGCCAATCGTACACATGTCATACGATAGCCCTTCCTTGGGATCTGTAGTTTCTTGTTTTCTGCCAGTAGTATGCGAAACCCTATAGTACACGCGTCCCGTTCTCTCGGCGCCACCAAATCTACTTGGACAAAGCTCGCTTCGCCCGAGCAAGCCAATTTGATCTCCAATCCTAGAAGTGACAAGTATCTTCCCTTCAAAATTCATAAGCAAACCACATAAGCACTCGGTTTGACCAGCCGAGTGAGTACTACAAAAGAATTGCACCTTGCATCCTATCACTCAGCTCAGTCAGCCAAGCAAACGTAGCTACAAAAGGATTGCGCCTCACATCCTATCACTCAGCTTAATCAAACGGGTGGGTACAACTACAGAAATTGTACCATGCATTCTATCACTCGGATCATTTGGCCAACTAAGCACATCTACAAAGGCACCTCACATCTTTCATCAAGACGAGATATCTTCATCCAGCCAAGGGAACGCTCTCTCACCCCAGTACTCAGCTTGGTTAACCTCCCATCAAACCTGTTACTTTCTAAGCTAAATACTTCTTAGCTTAGAAAGTAACTGGGGGGGCTAACTGTAGGGGCCAAAAATCACCTTGGGCATTATCAAGGCCAAACAAGCATTTTCTATTACACTAACCCAAGGTCGCGGTCTAATTCCGGTTAGGTCAACATCAGAATTCATGACGTGGGCCGAAACATGAGGCCCAAATCCAACCTCTATTTAGAATGGGCATCACGGGTAGCCCACCTAAGGTCAGGCCTTCCAGACTAAGGTAAGTAGGACTCTTCCTATTTGGTTATATCCTAATTCGCCCAAGATTTCGTATCTTAGGTGAATTAGGACTCTTGCTACTAATGAGGCAAGTGAACCAGGATCTTTCCTATTCACTAGACCTCTTCCCTTATGGATTTAGAGTCCTACTAGGATTCGAAGATCCTACAACTACTATATAAACAGGGGTCACTGCTCTGTTTAGGCATTCAATCTCAATACCACCTCCTCGCATCCAAACTCTTTCTCCTAAGAGTTATCCACCCACGTCGTGGTTCTAGTCTCCGACTAAACTTACGATAACCCTTCCTTCCCTTAGCCCTCACTAAATTGCCTCATTCAGCTTTACTGACTTGAGCATCGGAGTGCCTATGGCAGACACCATACTGGTGTTACGTAAGCTTCACGCTTGTTTGCTTTGTGTGCAGGTATAGCGGATTGTCAGTGGCCTCAATCTCACGGGATCAGACCTTATTTCCATAACCGTAGAATTTTTATGTCTACACTAGACATACGAGAACAATAGATTGATCATTTCAATACCATGCACCCAATTACTTTTATTGTTTCCATATATCACTGGTGCGTACTCCGTAGTTGTAAACTTGATGGTCGATCTTCGGATGGACTGTATGTTAAACTACTTCCTAAGCAAGACATAATATTTATAGCATGAAATGATGATTCTGGACTGATAGGATTATTAGCACGTTTCACTTCAGCATACCATATAAGCATTTGATTGCGCATCGTGTTCATTAGATAAATAAGTAATATGATAGTCGGTTTGTGCATGATCAATATTCAATGCCATGTCAAACACACTTTTAGCATGAATGATCAATATTCTTGAAGACAATCTGATATGGGTCTAACTCCACATAAAAATAAATTATGAGCACAAAAAATTATGAAATTGATTAAAATGGATGGAAATTTGGAATTACATCATACTGCAAATAATTGAACAAAATACAATTCTACATAACAACGGATAATAATAAGGTTGCGTTTAAAAGAAGCAAAAAGGTACAATCTTCTCAAAGTTCACCTTTAATTCAACGTCCTTACTTCACTTTTCGCTTGATCCAAGCCAAAAAAGCTCTCTACATAGCAATATGGCTGCCTTCTAGAGCATTAAAATCTTTTGGTCTTCTGAAACTGCTAATTTAATTATAAATCTACTCTCTCACTTTAACTAGACACCATGAGCAAACCACTAAAGTGAAAATAATACCTTTGGTCGCAACTTTAATTAATTGCTCTTTTAGGTACATAGAACATACATTATGTTTGAAAAATCTCTTCAGGAAATCCGGTAAAATCATACACTTGTGTGAGGTAACAAGAGCCTTAATTTTTCAAATGAATGTTCCAAAATCATACTCGGGAGAAGCCGTCTTGACTGTTGCCCACTTAATCAATAGATTACCATATCATTTAAGACCTCGATAAGCCTCCTTTGTCAAACCTATCCTAAATTTGATGGCTTCAACTGTCTCTCTTAGAAAACATTCGGTTGTGTTGTATTTATTCACATTCATGCTCACCAGAGAACTAAACTTGACTCCAAAGCAATGAAATGTGAGTTTGTTGGGTATTCTCCAACAAAGAAAGGTTATGAGTCTTACAATCAAGCCATGTCACCTATATTGAAACAACCTTATCTGCAGGGGAGCGTAAGGAATTTCTTCTTGACCTACCACCTTCGAGTTCATTATCTTCAATGCCCTATTTAAACATATGGAACAATTGTTGAGCCTAATTTGCCGAGGAAAGAGGGGGAGAATCATGGAAGACCGCTCAAAGTATATTCAATGAGAATGCAGCTAGCTCTAGAACCTTTACTTGCTCCAATGATCAGCTTCGAAAAAGGTACAGAAAATCATACCGACCTTGTCTCTAATGACATAGATTTAATGTGCTGAAATGACTTGAGCCTTGTGTTGTAAAAAGGCTTACGAGAGGATATGTCTAGATCATTCATCATTGAACCTTTGAGAGTGCCTTAGGCCTACATTGAAAGAATATCTTGGGCTTGCCTGTCATTTAGATAATGCCATAGGCTTCCTAAGAAATAGCCATTTGGGAGCTTGATTTATAGCGTTACACCCTAATTGTAGCATTGGGTCTCCTTGACAAAAATGGCCATTTATATAACCTCCAACAAAAATCATACTTGATAATATTATGTAGAACAAGGGGTATTTATGACATGACATTTTATTCTTTCTCAGTTAAATCTAACATCTTTCCATTGTTAAGTGCAGTTTCGGATACTAAGTGATGCTTTAGAAAACATGTATCCCCTCATTCAAAAAACAAAACAGAGTACCCCATTTGTATTTCTTAGTTTTGTTTGCTAAAGCTCATCCCATCAATTTTATGCAATGTTTTGTATGAATGACAACACCAAATTGTGCTTAATTACAACTCAAGTTATTTTATTAATGCTAAGGTTATATTATATTAGTTTCTTCATTTTACTACATATTTACCTTCTTAACAATTTCAAGCTCAGGTGGTTAAGCATCTTAATACAACTAAATGGATACCAACCTAATTTAAATATCTAAATTGATAAATTTACAATAAAATATATATTGTAATCAATTGTTAAATAATTATTTTATTACATATATTGAGAAAGAGATATGACGGCATTTACAAATAATTTAGTATGTATAACTTTTAAAATTACATTTTTGTATGTTTATTACTTTAATATATATATTATTATAAATTTAGCAAGGCAACAGATGCCCCTGTGTGTAGTATTATATTATTGTATTTGGTTATGGTTGTTGTTTTCATACACTTTCCAACACTCACGTGATCTTAAGAATATTTAGTCCAAATGGCATTGCATTCAATAGTTAACAAACACCCGATAAAACATGGAGGAAATGGGATAAAATATAGATTCAGAAGAAGAATTTAACTTCCTATTATCATAAAACTTGGTGAATGGTAAACTAATAAATAGAAAAGAGATATTTGGTGAATGGTAAACTTCATCCATATGGTGAAAATTGTTGCCTCAAGTAACTGTGAAGCAATCCAAAGCCTATACCATATAACTCAATCAAGGAAAGCTGTTTACATTGGAAACATACTCAAATTAACATCTTGAAAACAAATCTCTTCACCAGTTGATAATCTAGAACAGAAAATCATAGATTATATAACCTCAGTATGTTAAGGATCTGAATCAGCATTAACAAGTTCTGTAAAACTGCACTAAACTCCTTTCTCAACAATCTAAATAAACTCAATAAGGAAAGAAACAGATTTATGTAACACTAATAAGCTAAAACTTGACATCGTCGAAATATATAAGAATCTATGTCTGCAGAATTGATGGTTTGCCCCAGAAAAGTATTAACTTGATTACGTTTTGGCTCAACTTTAAAACATTTGCTTAACATAAAGTTCAATTTCAATTTTCACACAACAGCTTTTATTAACTTTATAATTAATTCAATTCCTACATCAAAAGTAAAACATGTGTGCCATAAGTAAACCACAACTCATATTGAAATAATGAAATGAGTTTTGAACTTCTCATTTCTTCATCATCTCTAGTAAAAACCATAGGAATATTCTTAAACACAATTGCTAGGGCATATGTCATATTATATCACATTCTCTCGCGTAGACTTGAGCATAAGAGGGTTCTCCCCACCAACCCTGGGAAACCCCCCCGACCATTTGTGGTGTTGTTTGCGGTTGTTTGCGGTTTCCCTGCAGGCAATTACACTTCATCCCAATATGGCCCCGGGTTTGCGATTAGCCAGAGGTGTAGCTTCAAACCCAAAATCACTGTAAAACATATATTTTCTTTCCTGTACTTCACAGTCCCACAGACTCTTCCACTTTAACTATTTAACAGACCCTATTAAAATCCAGTATTAACAAGCATTTTAACACCTAGAATTAAGAATATATGAAATTATAAATCCGATGCAGGTTCTGCACTAGAATAGCCCACATCAGAACTCAGATATTGGACTGTTATGGCTTCTGAATGCTGAACAAAAAGACATTTTTTTATGCATCTTCAAGGACCTCTAGCAAACATTCCAACTAAAAATAAAACAAGAGGCAAGATAGAGCAACACATTGTCACAAAAAAACAGAGCACAGAAATGAAAAAACATCCAAGCATTGATAAGATTTTATAATTGTGAAATGAAAAACTAGGACAAAAATGCAAATGTCATCCCATCAAGGAAAACAATAGTAAAGAGCCCAACTGAATTAATTTTTAACTCTTCTTTTCACCTTCAACTTTCTTCTTAGCTGTAGCCTGTGAATACAAGAAAGTTCCTAATATCGCAATGGCAGATCCAAGGGCATTCAAAGGCCTGACAGGATTCCTGAAAACCAAAACAGTTGCCACAATAACCACCACTCTCTTCATAGTATTTCCAACGGAAAAGGTCAATGGACTGATATCATCAAGTGCCTGGTAAGACGATTGGTTATATAGATGGTAAAAAATTCCAGAAAGCAACACCCATATATAAAATGTAGATGGTTTGGCAACAGCTTCAATTGCTTTATAATAACCTGGAATCCATTGACAACCTTCCACGAAAATCGCAACCGGAAACAAATAAAACAGAGAGATTATGCTAATCCAACCATACAGATTCAATCCATCCACTTCCTTGAAATTCTGCAAACTTTTCTTAGAAAAAATATTCCTCAAAACAAAACCAACATTACTAATCATAGCACCCCACAAACCACCAAAATTGAAGGAAACTTCAGTGACAGCAGCAAGAGAGCAACCAAAAACAATTGGAAGAATGGAAAGCCAAACCTTTAAAGGGTAAGTATCACCAAGAAAGGATGAGAAAATAACAGAGAAAACAGGCTCAGCTGATTTGATAACATGGGTGAAAGACACAGCCACCTTAGAAAAAGATACACAAGCTGAAATGTGACCAATAGTGTGAAACAATGCAGGTCCAAGAAGCGCAACAATAAATGGTTTGGTAATTTTCGGGCAAGGTTGCAACTTTAAAGACCATAAAACAAGCATCCAAACAGAGCCAGCAAATAACTGAAAGGATGCCAAAAGCCAAGGAAAAGGGAAGACATTTAATACCTTCTTGTTGTAGATATTAAAAACAATGTTCTGAAAGTACCAGAAACCAAACACAAGTGCAAGTTTGAGAGTCTTGTTGGGCTTTGTTTCTCCATCTCCTTCTGGGTTTGATTCAGCAGGTGCTGCTTTAGCAATCAAAGATCTGTTTTTTGAAGAAATCCCAAAAGGGTATTCGTTTTTGGCGCTTGAATCCTGAATCAGAGGAGTGAGCCCAAGTGGGTATCCATGGATTTTGGTAAAATTAGGAGAGGTGGGTTTGTTGAGAAGAGAAGAAGGGGAGATTAAGTACTTATGGTTTTGAGTTCTGATAAAAAGTGAAGAAGCATTAATGGGGTTGGATTTGGAGAAAGTGACAGGAGAGGATGATATTAGATTTAAAGTAAGCATTTGCTCAAAGAGATAGAGAGAGATTCTGCAAGTGAAAAGCGAGATGAGTTGAAAGAAGAGAGATTTTTTCAGGAAATTTGGTTTGCTTTTTCAAGGGAACGTTTGGTTAGGTTTACACATTTTGAAGGTGTCGTTCTGATCTGACGTGATTATCGGGAATATTATATTTAATTTGCCCGGATTATAACAATTTCCTCCTCAGGGATTGGGAATCTAATACACGCAAGAGTTTTGGATCATAACAAATGTGTTCAAAAAATTGATTACTTTATCATATAATATTATAATAACACCCTTTTATTCAATTTTTATTTTAACTATAAAATTTGAAAAAATAAAAACTGAAAAGGAACCTTAAACTTTGTTTCGAAAAGAACTTGGTATCTTCGATCTTATTATGCTTCCCTCTCTCATTTTATATTATTCATTTTTTAAGGATGTAATCTAATTAAATATAGGTTTTATTTTATTTTATTTTTAGTTTATTATATATAATTAAATAATAATTCAACTATTCATGTTAATTATAATGTATTATATAAAAATTGGTTAATAGATATTACTATTTATATATTTAAAACAAAAATTGAAGAAATACAAGTTGAAAAGAATGTATATTTACACAATTGGTATTAAAATCTTTATATAATGAAGTAATAAGTTTTTGGGTGCATTCATTACTATTCAAAGCTCTTAGGTGCGTGTATACTTCCCTCAAACCTTGAGGAGGAGCTTGTTATGAACCCTTAATTTGCGTATCTAAAAGTGGCTTGATATCTTACCAAACACAAGTGGGCATTGACTCCTTGCTGAAGTTGCAAGGAGAAAGGGAGTATCTTCGAATATAACTAAGCATTTCTCACGACAGCTCATTTTCAAGTTTTCCCACCTCTAACTCTATGCAACACTAACTTTGGATGAAGGGATGTAAATAAAACCCATCAAGGTCGAGTACCCGAAAAACCGCTCCCACTAGGTAGAAAATTTCTGAAAATTTCAAGGTTGGGGACGAGGATGGAGAAAGTTTACGTTGTCCTCGTTATCGGGGATGGGTATGGGATCTAATAGGGGTATTTATTAGGGATGGGCATTTGGACTGCCCTATTGGAGATCCGACCCACCCCAATTCGAATAGGACGAGGATTCATTGAAACAATTGGGGGTCAAGACGGGCCAGGCTTAATGAAATTCCCATATATATAAAATTAATTTTGTGGATGATTATTGAATATTGATAAGATTTCATACAAAATATCTTATATTTAATTTTCTTAATGAGATGATATTATATTATTTTGATCTCTATTTTGAAACTTGGCTCGGCCTAGTCGGTTTAACCGATCAGACCTGAACCCGGGGCCTTCTCCAGGCCAAGTTACCCCTTGCAACTATTCCTGAAAACCCTAACCCAACCTCCGACAAACGAGAAGCTACTAAGTGTCAAGGTTGAAGGGGTTTTGTAGAGTGGAGGCTGGTGGTTTAAGGGGTGATCTTGGATTGAATTTTGGATGTTGGGAATCAGCTAGAACTTGGTCGGAAAAATCAAGGATGCGCGAGTCACAACCGGCAAACGGGGGGCTGCCAAGTGTCAGGGTTATAGGGGTTTTGTAGAGTTAAGGTTGATGGTTAAGGTGGTGGTGTTGGATTGATTTTTAGCCGCCGAAATTAACCGGAATTTGGCCGAAAAAACCAAAGGCCAAAAATCAAGGTATATGCGAGTCACAGCCGGCAAATAGAGGTCTACCAATTGTCGGGGTTAGAGAAGTTTTGTACAGTGAAGGTCGGTGGTTCAGGTGGTAGTGTTGGATTGAATTTTGGCCGTTGAAATTAGCTGCAATTTGGCTGGAAAAGTGAAAACCTAACTGTCACAAAGGTATATCTGCTATATTTCAAACTTGTCGGGACTGATAGTATTTTCAATGGTGTATTTGCTAGATTTTAAACTTTCTGGATCACCGGCCAACCCAAGACCCAACCCCTTGGCTGTGTGACACCCCTAGTCGGGTTTTAGAACATTGATTTTGATGCAATTTATGTATTCTCATTTTCATTAGATGTCAATATAACTTATAAATTATAATAGGCTTAATATAATAGCCTTACTTAAGTATTTTAGTTTTGTTAATCTTATATTAATTAGAATGATTGAAAATAAATTAATGAACCAAACTAAACAAATTAATTACCTAAATCGACATTTAAAATCGTTGTAAATTAAATTTACAAATTAATTAGAAAAAGGAAGAGGAATTTTATGTAATATTGAAAGAATTCATAAATTGTATTATAAAAATGGAGAGTCACAATAATCTGTATCACATAACAAGACACTATTAATAATTTACTAATGTTAAAAAAAAAAACAACATTTGTCAAGAAATTACCACTTTAATAATTACTTTTATCACAATATTAATTGATTAAATGTGATTATAATTGTGGGAGCATTGAGTGAAACTAGGGTAGCAAGAAAATAGGTTTTACCGAAACCGATAGGAACCAGGGTTTGTGCGGTTTTGGTTTTGGTTTTGGTTCAGGTTCACGATTGTAGGAACCAGAACCGAAATCGGAATCAAGATCTAAGTACTCAAATAGAAAAAAAAAATCCAGAAAAAGGAAAAAAAAAAAAAAACATATTCATCAAAACCAAAATCCTCACAAACATCACTTCAAAAATTCATCCAATGCACCTTCTAAACACCTCGTCCACCTCAACTCTTAATTGAAACAAAACGACATGGCCATGTCGTTTAACCAAATCTGGCAACGTGCCAACCAGATGCAAAGCGCTGCTAGTGCAAGAGTTATGGGTTTTTTGAGGTTGTGGCTAGTTTTGGAGGTAGGGAGGTGTGCGTTATACTGGGGTTTTGTTGTATTAGGGGCTGCTTGGTTGAACGGAGATGGAGAGTGTCGCGGCCGCCGGGGAGTAGGACTATACGACAATGGGTATACTGGTTTCTAAGGTCGGGTTTATACTTTTTCTTAGTTTTCTTTTTAATTTTTATAATTTCAAATATTGTAATTAATTTTATTGTATTAAGATTTTTTGCTTTTAATTTTTTTTTTGTTTTTTAAAGACTTATTTACCCATTGCTTTTAAGTTGGGTAATTTTTGTAAACGGACCGCAGAGTGTGTTTGTAATTTATGTAAAAAGTTGTGATGTATTTGTAATTTACACTGAATATATTTATCATTTTTGTGAATAATAAGAGTGTGTTTAGTTAGGGGTCTAAGAAGATAACTCTAGTAATATATCTTTGATTCCGACTTTCTTTATATGGTTGTCAAATAATAAAAGATTTCGATAATCTTGCAAAAGAAATAGTATTTATTATAGGTGATATAGGGGGTAACAAATTACCTTCCCAATGGGTGTTATTCTTTGATTATCGGGGTAATATGAATTTTGTTCCCATTTTACCTTTAATTAATAACCATTTCAGACACAAATACCTTCATATGTTTACCATATAACAATTAGCTCAACTATGTGAAATGACTTTTGTAACCTCATAAATTAATTTTTAGGTCAAAAATGCCCCACAATACCTATTACCATTTTACCTTTAAATAATTAAATTTTTGGACAGTAATGCCCTTATTATGAAAACTATTTACATGAATACCACCCAAAACACCCCAACCACCCAAAACGATTGTTGGCCGCTGACCACCACTGCCAGCCGTTTTCGACAATCATTGGAACAGCACACAATCGGTCGGATCTAGTCGGTTGTGCGCTGATCTAGCTATTTCTAGCCAAATCCATGAATTTGGCCAAAAATGGTAAGATCAAGCATGGTTGACTAGATCTGGTCGGTTGTGCGTCATTTCGGTGACTGCGAACGTAGGCTGGCGATGGTGGTCGATAGCCGGCATTTGTCTTAGGTGGTTGGGGGTATTTTGTTAAATTTTAAACTTTTTATTGTTGTTGGAGTGTTTTAGCTAAATTCTCAAATATAAGAGATTAAAAGTAATAATCTAAACAATAAAGTAATAATAATAATATTTAAAAAGAAGGGCAATTTGATAAATGGTTCTCCCGGATTCTTTTATTCCCCAACCAAATATATTAATTATTTACACCAAATTACCAACCAATTTAATCAAACATATATAATATATAATATGACAATGCCCTTAATTTCCAAGGTAATCTATCTTCAAGGTAATTATATTTTTACAGTAATACAACATTCTATGAACCAAACAAACCCTATTAGGGTGTGTTTGGTTCGGGGAATGTTTTATTGCTAAAAATGTAAGATTACCAGTGAGATAAATTACCTTGAAGATTATGGGGAAATATTATATCAATATATTTGGTTAGATTGGTGGGTATAAATAATTAAAATGATTGGTTGGGAAGAATAAAATATTATCGACAAAAGCTTTTACTGAATTGCCCTTCCTTTTTAATATCATTATAATAATATTTTTATTATTATTCAAATAAATTCTTTTAACCCCCTATATTTGAGAATTTAGCTAAAACACCCAACAACAAAGTTTAAATTTTAATAAAATACCCTTAGCCATCCAAAACCACCGACCACAAGCACCGGCTACTACCGGCAGTCCTCGAAACAGCACACAACCAAACAGATTTGGCCGACTGTGCACTGTTTTGGCTGTATCTAGCCAGATCGAAGGCTGAAAATAGCTAGATTGTCATGGATCTGGCCGAAAATGGCCAAATCCACGGTGATCTGGTTGTTTCCAGCCAAATCCATGCTAATCTGGCTATTTTCAGCCAGATTGAAAGCCAAAAACAGTCAAATCGTCATGGATCTGGCCAAAAGGGCCGCAAATGGCAAGATCTGTTCTGGCCGTTTTCAGCCAGATCCACAGCGATTTGGCAGTTTTCGACCACCAGTCGTGCGTCGATCTGGCAACTATTGCCTGTGGCCGGCAATGGTCATTTTGTTAACTTTAAAACTTTTTGTGGCTGGGGTGTTTTAGCTAAATTCTCAAATATAAGGGGTTTGAGTATTTGTTATTTGGTAGACATTTGAGGGCAATTCAGTCTGAAATGACTTTTATTTAAGGGCAAATTTGGTTAAAAAAACAATAACCTCGGTGAAAAAAGATTAACACCCCCTAGACTAGGTAATCTGATAACCCCCAAAATGACCAACAATATT